CTCCTTTGCCAATTTTCTAAGTTTCAAGTTAACATTACTTTGATTTACATATTTAATTTACAGTGCGGAATCCAATGTGATGTGGTTGTGTTTTGTTTTCCTTGTGGTTCAACAAAATCATCTTGTAATGGAACAAATCTTCCTGCTAACTTCCCAAACCTACTGAAATAATAGCGGGGTTTTTCCATTGACTATGGTGGGCTTTGGAGCAGGCCCATACCTCAACACAGAAAGAGATGACACTTCATGTAGGACTAAGCAGGTTTCAGTCAGCAAAGTAAAAAAGAAGATCAGGTGCTTGCAATCCAAAAGTGTATTATGCTGTATGCCTCTGAAACAAGTGGCTACCAGACTCTGACTTGCACAGAGATGAAGGGCCATATTAATTCCTGGTACAATGCCACTGAAAACAATGTGACATACTTTCCCCACACTGGTATTTATAGAAATAGGAATACCTTCTTGAACTTCTAAATGAGTTACAGGGACAAGATGCATAATTAATATTTGTAAACGGCTAAAATTCTGATGGAAGACGTCATTATATGAGCATATAAGTAATCTAGTATTTAAAAAAATAAAATCAATGCTAATGCTGTTACCCAAGCATGGTGCTGAAGAGATCTTTATTCATTTTCAAAATTTTAAAAATTGGTGGGAGAAAGGAGAGGAAGGTGTCTATTTTTCTTCCCACTTTTCTTGAAGGAAAAGATTTTTTTTTAAAGCTAGAACCTGACTGTTCAGTGGAATTTACCCTGCAGTGTAGATGATCTTCTGCAAAAGAGTAATTTTGAGAGTCTCTGGTGGAAGTTTGGCTCAGCAAGATCAATGGCAAGACTTCCATCAACTTTTCTGAGGCCAAATTACATCCCAGAGATACCTTTGTTCATGGTTTTTTGCAGCAGCATATGGTATTCCACATGCTACTCTGCTGTAGTTTCTTGCTTACAGTTTAGGTTCAGGAAAGTCTCTCCCCAAGCTGGGGCTAGAAATAGGAATCAAATGCTTGCCCATCAAAATACTCCTTTGGTACCACATGCCTTTATAAATGGAGTGTGACACTGGGTTAAATTACTTTAGGAATTGAACCCATTTTCATTTAAATCAATAGCAAAAACCTTAGCAGGATTGAAATCACTGTAGACTTGTCATGAGAAATAACCCCTGCTTCCTGTACTTAGTACAACATAGGCAAAATGAATTCTAGGAAGGATACACCTAAGAATCTTTTTATCAGTTTTATGTGGAAATTATGAGTCCCTCACTAGAGGAAGGAAACCAGCTTAGCTCCAGACAATTGACTCACACTTCAGCAAAACCTGGAATACATGCTTGTGTTTCAAAATCAAGGCTTCGTGGGTACTTACTCTAAAATGGGGAATTTTAAGTTGTGAACAGACATAACACTTAGACTGGTTTACAGGCAGTGTAAACTTCAAGTGTCCAGAAGTACACCCCAGTTTAGAATGGTTTAAACCACCTGAACAGTTTAAAAAATATAATCTGGATAATCAAGTATTATTTGGAACTGGTTCTCTGTGAATCAGTTGTGTTATGTGCAGACACCAAGCATGTAAACACTCGCATCTGGCTGGCCATCCAGGCATGAGGCAACCCCCCCCAACTCCAGCACAGCATCTGGTGGCTCTGGTATGCAGCCAGAACTCTGCTGCCCCAACCTCTATTGTCTGTACTTGGCTAAAGTGTCCCTGGCTAGGAGCAGCTCTCCTCAGCTTTTAAAGAGCTGGCCTATTTTTTCCCCATTGCTGGCAGCTGATCAGGGTTCCAGGCATTCCATGCTTATTTAAGGTGGGAGGTGGCCAGGTAGATTGAGGGAGGGCGGGGGAGAGGTGCCTGGACCCCTGCTTGTGTGTGCCTGGGGGCTGGGGTTTCTGAAGGCTGTTCTCTGCACTTGGTCAACTTCTCCATTGGTGACAGTCCTCAGGCAGCCCCCAGGAGCCTTCCCCCAACCCCCCAAATCAGTCTGGGATGTACCCCACCCTGGTCAACTTCCAGAAATTTAAGTATATTTATGTTCATCTTGAGAGAAAGTGCTCTTTAAAAGCTGCAAAAGCTCTGGCAGCTCTGAAACGCCCCATGCCTGGGAGTTCAAAAGCAGGGTTCTAGGTCACCCCATCCCTCCTCCACACACACTCCCAGTCATGGTACCACCACACAGATGTCAGTAAGGTGCACGAATGGGTCTTCATTGAATTCAGTGTCAGTGAAAAGGGGTAGCAGAAATCTGCATTTGGGCAGTGTTCTCCTGGGTGGCATGTCTCTCTCCCCCTGGTAGCACATCAATGCCTAAAATGTGATGGTTCTACTTAACCCTTGTGGGTGTCCGACCCACTTGCCAGGCTATGGCTGGTAGCCCGGAGCGCCAGGTGGGTACTTTGGCAAATGGAGTGGAATTAGGCACAGATGCGTATTGGTAAAAAATAGATTGTTTACTTACACCGCTGATGTGCGCAGCGCAGGACAGAGGCTGACTTTGGTTGCAGTACAAACGTAGCAAGAGCTCTTTAAAACGAGATGAGACGTTCCGTAAACGGCTTATCAAGCATGCAGGGGAGGGGGTACGTCAGGGAGTTCGGTGACGGGGAGTCGTTGGTGGGTGATCAGTCCGCCAAGTTTACTCCAGGATGCGTGCGGAGTTCTCCAGCGAAGGCGGAAAGCGCTCTTACCTCTATATGTTTAACAAGCCAATTACTAATTGCCAAATAGGAATAATTAGTAATCGGCCAATGGGTGGTGTGCATGGTCAGCCAATCGTATGTTACGTAGCAATTTTTCCCCTTGGCCTCAGCCAATGCAGCCCTGGTTTACAACAAAGGGCCGGGGCTTTACTGCGCATGTGTAGTGTAATGCACTGTTACTGTTAATCGCATGCGTTTGTCTGGCCAATCGCATATAGCTTGGGGTCTCCGTGATCAGCGGATGACTGTGACATGGGCAGATGTATGTGGATTGGTCAGTCATTTTTTTTTTTCTTTTTTTCTCTGACAACCCTTAGTAGCATATGCATGGCCACCCCTCCAGGACTATTGTAGATTGGTTTCCAATCAGTGACATTCTTGGAACAGTGCAAGTGTTACGTCTGTCTGCACCCTTGGGAGTAAGGGTCATTGCAAGCTACACCTGAGCAGGTGTTCCATATACAACATAGGAAATGCCACAATGCAGACATCTTAAAGTGGTATCCTGTCTCTAAGACAGGGGTGGGCAAAATACAGCCCACAAGGCCATTCTATCTGGCCTGTGAGGCCCCTAAAAAATTTAGAAAATTAATATTGATCTGTCCTTGGTTCCTGTCAAAAGTGACAGGAACCAGGGCCAGTAGGACCCAAGGGAAGCACAGTGGGCTCCCGCAACAGCAGGGCCTGCCTGCAGCCCCACCCCCCCAAAGGGGCTTCTGGCCTGGGACCATGTGAGTGCACTGTGCCAGAACGTCAGGTAGGGGGGGTGGGGACCCCAGGCAGGGAAGGAGCCTGTGGAAAAGCGGACCCCCCCCCCCCACCCTGCAGCTGGCACTCCCTGCTACAGCCACTTGCAGCCCATGCAGGGCTGCCCGGACCAGGAACAAGCAGCCCCAAGTGGGCGGTGAGCAGCTGCAGTGCGGGGGGGGTGCTGGCCATGCCGTGGGTGAGGGGCCACTTCCCCGCACTCCGTACCAGCTTGTAACCCACCCCCGCTGCCAGCCTGGGCCCCATGCTGGCTCTGGGCTCGCCCATTGGGGCTGCGCATGGTGGCAGCAGCTGCGCCCTGCCACCCACCCCGCTCGCTGCGCTGGGCAATGCTGGCTGCTGCTGCCCACTCGGAGCTCGCGCGCTGGGCAGCCCAGAGGCGGCAGTGGCAAACACTACCCGGCACAGGAAGCAGGGGGGCCTGATGGGCAAGTGCGGGGCCCAGGCTGGTGGTGGAGGCAGGTTACAAGCTGGTGCTGAGTATGGGGGAAAAGCCTCCCCCACCTCATGGCCAGCGCCCTGCGCGGCAGCTGCTCGCAGCCTGCCTGGGGCTGCCTGTGCCGGCTCAGGACAGCCCCATGTGGGCTGCGAGAGGCTGCAGCAGGGAGCGCATGCCACAGGGTGGGGGAGGGGGCCAGTTTTCCCTGTACTCAGCACCAGCTCATTCCCTGCCGGTGAGCACGGGGGTCGGGGCTGCACGCTGCCCTCCGCCTGTACCGTGGGGCTGGGGGGCACTGGGAGTGAGCAGGTGCACGGGGCCCACACCAGTGTCCTGGGGCCAGTGCCGGCGGGGCCCAGAGCAGGGTGGCAGGAGTACAGGGTCCTGGCCAGCAGGGGCTCTATGGAGCCAGGCCAGCTCCCCGCTCCTTGCTGGTGCAGCCCAACCTGGCTCCATAGGTCCCTGCCAGCCTGCACCCCGCTCTGGGCCCCACCAGTGCTGGCCCTGAGACATTGGTCCCAAGATGGTGACCAGGGGGTGGGGCACCTGTCAAGGGGCAGGGCTACCCATGCAGCCCTTGACAGCTTGCCAAAACTGGGTAAGCAGCCCTCCGCCTGAAATAATTGCCTGCCCCTGCTCTAAGGTAACCTGCTCTGCATGTTTTGAAAAGATTAAGCCCCTAATATAAATAGCTTTGGTCTCTCTCCCCCCTTCTAAGCAACAATTCTTTCAGACATGAGCTCCAACTGTGACAGAGATCAAACTTTCTTCTTTCTCCCTTTTTATTGGGAAAGTATGAGAAGTAACTGAACACCTTTAGCTGCATCAAACTAATGTGTTGTACTGGCACATGAATTTCATCCTGGCAGACTTACTGGTAAAGAAAATCCCCACTATTAACCTTTAAGCAAGAACACATAAAATACTATGTTTTCTTGCAAATAATGTGCACTTTCCCCACAAAATATGCAGAGAAAATTAGGGTGTGCATTATATGCAAGGGTCTAGAAATCTGGCAGGGGGTATGGAGGGTACAGTGATCGCAGCATTAATTGCCATGCTGGATTAGACCCTTTGCACAGCCCTAGACTTACCTTGCTGGATCAATCTGTGGGTCTCATCCAATGCATGGGGCTGGGAACAGGCTGCGTTTCCTAGCTGCTGCTGCTACTCAGTTAGCCAAGATAAAATCTATTCTTCTTGGTTGTACCTTTAAAGAAACCCATAAAAACAGGGTGTCTTATATTTGGGGTGGGTTATATGGGGTGAAAATATGGTACACATCCAACAGAACACTGCTCCTCAAACTTGCCCTATCATCACTCTTTCATCTACAGTAGGTGCCACTTATAACTTACACTGCACTTCCAGTGGAAGGAGCAAGATCTAGTTTCTGATTAAATCATCCTGTTGGCCTAAGTCAACTGGGAACAGAAAGTAAAAATTTGTTTCTTGCTTAGAAATCACAAGTCTGAATTTCATGCAAAGAAAAGGATCTTATCTTACTTCAGTTTTACATGTACCTTCTGTAACAGTTGCCCCTGCTTATTAAGCACCTAGGAATTTGGCCACAGATTTTAGTATGAATACGATATAGAACCATTAAAAGAAAGGAGATTCCGGCCCACTACCAATTACTAAAATATAGCCCATTAGCACTTGGTAATGCTGTGGGTAAGTACAGAGTCAAAAAGCCCAAAGCTGAATCTATTCAATCTTTGCAGGTTAGTCTAAGATTCGTAGACTGAAACTGATAAGCAAGTGAACAGACACTCACTTTTGATTCCAGAAGTGCAGCCGCATGCCTGCAGCGGCCCAGGATAGAAGCCAGGGGGCTCTAGAGCATGCCTCCCTGCTCAGCTAGAACAGAAAGCTTGGGCCAAGGCTAGCCTGCTCATCCTGTGAGGGGAGAGGGGGTTGCGGGGGAGGTGCAAAGTATCCTGGGATGCTGGGGGACTGGGAGTTAACTTGAACCTGGAGGATGATGTTCAAATCCTGATGTTTAAAAAGTTGACGTTTGTAATCTTGCGTTTGTCTCTGGGATTTGCCTATACAAAAATCAACTAAATTTTCACCTGTGCACAATCTAGTTGACTACAGCCTATATTTAGAAGTTGATCTCTGTGCCTATTCCCCAGAATACTATATTTTCACTGTACATAAGGTTTCAACCACAAAAGCCTATTTGAGCTACAATTTTTCATATCTGTTTTATGATGGTCACACGAGGGGTGGCAGCAGCTGCTGTGTGGCAGCTCTGTCCTACCCCCCAGCCAGCTGACCAGAAATTTCAGTTAATAGAAATGCCGGTTACTACAAATGACAGCTAACACACATTTTACTGTATGTTGTATTGCTGTTTAAAAAAAAACAAAAACCAAAAAATAAACAAACTGTCTTCTACCTACAGCTGAAGCTATTCTAAAAATGTGATGCATTCCAGAAACAAAGGATAACAGTATCAAAAGGTTTACAGTACAAATAAGCAGTCACATTCTAAACTTGCTCTCACTACCTGTTCCACAGCAACACTAATTTAGTCCGAGCTTTAACTACATGAGTGAAGTTACAAGCTTCAACAAGGATGACTACTTCTAAGATGCTGTTTTGCACTGTGCGCATCTTTCTTTGCCTATTATCATCACTTTGTCCCAACAAGTTTCTCTTAAAATATAATTGTAGGTCATTTTAATTAACATTACTAGAGTTTCCAGGATGTTGGAGACCTGTTGAACTTAAATACGAAAGACCACACCACTTTTTGAAAAGTGCACGGCCTCTCTATTATTTAGGCCCCTTGACAAAAGACATGATTAACATCTTAAATGTAACATATGTAGTGACCTGGCCACATGCTTATTTAGTTAATAGTGTGATAAAAATATTTACACATTTTGTGTAATAACTCTTTTGCTGGTTTCTATCACGCCTTCAACTGAATATGTGGCTACTGCCTCCAGCCTCTGGAGCACAATGGAACCTTTCAAGAATCTTGTGTGCTCAAGAGGCTGGGAGTGCCCAATGAGCACACTATGTGCTTCTATGGCTGGGAGCCCACATCGGCTGCCTGGACCAGCTCCTAGTCAAGAGAGAACATGGTGTGCTCTGATCAGGGCTCCTAGCTGGGGGACCACAGGTTGCCAAGCTTGCTACTGCAAGATTGGGCTTCCCCTGCACTGGCACTATGGTGCAATGGGATCTGATGCTTAATCTCATCACTATGCTTCCTGCCATGCACGGGATAGAGCTGTCACCACAGGGGTGTATCTGGAGCAGTTTATGGACTCCCCTGACACCTGCCCATTCTATGAGCAGAAGGAGACCCTGGTGCACACCTACCTGGAGCACACCAGGCTGCAGCCCCTTTCATCACCTCCTCCAGAACCTCCTGTTGAGATTCTGGTTGCACTTCTCCCTGCATTTTTTTTTGTTTATGCACTCCCCATCCATGACCCCAAGAAGTCCCAGGACCTCCTGGCCTACCTCCTCCTGGCCCTAACCAAGCTAGCAATATACCTGACCAGAAAGGAGGCCCTGGCTAGGAGGACTGCAGGGCTGTTTTCCTGTCCCTGATCTAGTCACACCTCCAAAGTTTAACTGGGCTTACGGATTCATTCAAGGGCCAGTGGGCACTCCCATGCACTCTGCTTTGTGTCCTTTCTCCCATCCCCTGCCTTAGTACACTCCTTTTGAACCGATGACCTTCACTCCTCCTCCCTGTTTTGTCTTTTAGTTGTCCCAAATGATCAGCAGTGTAGTCTTAGTGGCTTTCAGCTTGATTCAGCAGGCAATGGCCCATGATTCCAATGCACACCAAACAGGCTAGCCACATTTGTGTGGCATAGCAGACAGTGCATTCATGGGGATCCTGCATCAGATCCCATCACACCTTTACATTAGCAGAGCAAGAAATCAGAGCAATCAGAGAAAGGAATCATAGAAAAATCGGGCCTAGAAGGGGCCTCAGGGGTCATGTAGTCCAACCCCTGCTCAAAGCAGGACCATTTCCAACTAGATCATCCCAGCCCAAGCTATATCTACCCAGGTCTTAAAAACCTCCAAGGATGGGGAATCAACAACTTCCCTGGGTCACCTGTTCCAGTGTTTTACTACCCTCCTAGTGAGACTTTTTTCTAATATCTAACCTCAATTTTCCTTGATGTAACTGGAAACTATTGCTCCTCATTCTGTTGTCTGCCAGCACTGAGAACAGTTTAGCTCCATCCTCTTTCAAACTCCCCTTCAAGTAGTTGAAGGCTGCTATTAAGTCCCCCCTCAGTCTCTTCTTTTCTAGACTAAATTACCCGTTCCCTCAGTCTTTCCTCATGAGCCACGTCCCCCAGCCCCCTCACCATTTTTGTTGCCCTCTACTGGACTCTCTCGTTCGTCCACATCTTTTCTGTAGGACAATTGTTGTAGTGGGGGCCCCAAAACTGAACACAGGCCAGCTAAGGGAGATGAAGACTGACACGAAATACACAGGGCTAGGACTGAGGGACAAGGATTAGGACAGAGCAGGGCAGGCTGCCAAGCCCCTGTGCCCCACCTGGCTGCCTCCAGACCGAACAGGCTGGACCTGGCTGATGTACTGCTCCAGCTGTTTCCCCTGCCCGGAGCCCGGCTTGCCCGCCCCTCTAAGTACGGTTCCCCTTAAGAGCTCCGGGCTAAGGGAGCCGAGTCCCGCCCCCTCGGTGCAAGCGCCCCCGCGACAACCCGATCCCGCCCCAAACCAGCGGCCTGGCCGGACCCCGCAGCCTGGGCCGCGCGGGGACTCACGGCAGCGGGTCACGTCTCCTCCATGGGCGCCGCCATCTTGGAACGCACCGCTGGCAACAAGAGCTTTATTAGTAGCGCTCGGCTGCTGCACAGATAAACCCAGTCTCCCCGCGCCCTGCCCTGTGTCTATCGCAGTGTCTCGGCTGGGTGGGCTACAGGCTGTCCCTCTCTCTGGGGACAAGGGTGTTGGGCTGTGTGGAAATGCCCCATTTGCCCCTCCTGGCACCTGTACTCAGGCCCAGGGGTAGCCCTGCCTGGGAGCAGCCCCTGTGTTCTTAGAGGCAGTGCATGCTGGCTACGGCTGAGGCTGGGGACTTCAACTGGGGTGTGCCAGTGCTCCTACTGGAGCAAAGCCAGAGGTTCCTGGCTGGAGGATCCTGCTCCTCTCCTCAGGATCAGACCAGTCACCATATTTGGGGTCAGGAAGGAAATTTACCCCGTGGTCAGATTGGTACAGACTGTGGGGTTTTTGCCTTCTTCTGTAGTGTGGGTCATGGTCTTCCACCTGGGACCCCTTGAGCTGATATTGACAACACTTTATAGAGGGAGGGCATTGGCTGTTATAGTTCCCTGGTTTTACCTGTGGCAGGTTAGGGCTTTAGGTCTGTGTTGTTGGGGCTGACTTGTCTTATTTGTATAGGATGATTTGGAAAGGGATGATCCTGCCATAGGGGGTTGGACTAGATGACCTCCCACTTCTCTATTCTTTTAAGACCGTTAGGCAGTTCTGTTTCCTCGTGGCAGTCATTTCATGTAAACCATTTGCTTATGAGAATATCAAGGGCATCTGTGTTAAAAGCCTTACAAAAGTAAAAAAAAATGTATTGCATTTACTGTCTTCCCCTTATTCACTTGGTCGGTTTCCTTCCCTTAATTGTGAGTTTCCAGTCAAGGTTTGAGTTCAAGGTGAACATTTCTACAGACTCCTAACCTTCAACCATGAGTGGCCCATGGAACTTCTTAAGAGTGTAAGAACTGCTGCTTACTGGGGCAGGCCACCATAGGTCCAGCTTGCCCAGTATCCTGTGTCACACAATGGCAGAACAGATGCTGAAATGGAGTGTGAATGGGGTATGATATGGGGTTTTTCCACTGTTCCTCTCCTACTTGCAGCCTCCAGCATTTAAAATCTAGAAAGTTCTGATTCACAGGTTGTACTCCCAACTCCTGTGATCAATAGCTGTTGATGTATCTTTTCTCCAAGAATTTGTCCAATCCCTTTTTGAATTTGTTTAAACAGTCAGCTTCCACAGCATCTTGTGGCAATACATTCTACATTTTAATTATACACTGGGTGAAAAAACCTACAGTAGTGAAGCTAAAGCATACAGATATGAAGCTTTGCAGGATCAGGCCCTATATATCTCCACTCTTTGCTTATTCATATTTTAGACCAAATTTATTCTCAGTACTGTAATTATGGAGTGACCCTTAACATGTTTAACTAGATTTACAATTAAATAGTATCCATTAAATAGAAATTTAGACTACTGCTCAAGGAATGATAAAGAGCTATTGCTAATCTTGATGCTGAGGTTAAAATAAATGTGTGTTTTTTTTCCTGGGGTTAGACTGTTACTAACAGTCCTCTGTTTTTATTTCATCACTCATTTGTTTATATTTCTGGCATAACTGTAATTATCATCAAGCTGTTGGAGCGACTTGACTGTTCCTTATTTCTTGCAAAGCCAGTTCCTTTTCCTGCACAACTTATTCTAAGATTTGTATTTATAATTTTTGTTCTACAACTGTAACTTCTGTTTTTGCCTTGGTATGATATTTAATCTGCTATCTGTGCTTATTAAGGTGTACTGAATTTTCCCAAATACAGCAGCCGTTAAATAAGCCTCTAATACCTGATACCTAAACTAGAGTCCCTGCAAGAATTTCAAATGTCAGTCAAATCCTAATGACTGCCACAGTGATGATCACAATGATTTTCAGTGCTGCTCTGCTGTTGCAGACAAAAAGCATTCAAGAATTTTGTCTGTTGCAAAAAGTTGTTTTGACACGCCCAAGCCTTGTAGGGACTTGCAGAAAGAAAGTACAACAAAGCAAAGAAAACAAGAAAAATTACAAGCAGATGAGATTGCAAGAGGAAGAGAGAGAATGAGAAATACTGGAAAGCTGGAAAGACTTAGAAACAATCCATTGTGTTGTGAATTGTTCTTCTGGTCAGATGCAGACTATGAAAAGCTCTTTTTTTTCACACATGTTCTGTTGCTTTAACTATGCTATTATACCAGCATAGTCAGAACAGTGCAACTTTTATGTGCAACTATACTGGTATAGTTAAAGCTATACAGTCCTTCCATCTAGTTTAGGTAGCTTAGGCACCGGTTGAAAAGGTGCTTATAATGACACAGGCAGACAAGGTTCTTTGGGTAAATCCACTATGTCCTATGTCCTTAGACCAACATGGCTACAACCTACACCCCTTATAATGGCATAGCCTATCCCTTTACAGGAAGGGAAACAAGCTTTATACAGCTAGAAGGCATCTGTGCTTGCCTCCATGATAGCAGTTGGGGAGGAAGCCTGAACCACTCCTGACATAATTATATCAGCACAAACCCATGCTTAGTCAGGCCCTCATTCC